GTTTCCCCTAAACTACCTACTAGGCCCTCGCCTCTCTCTCTCTCTCTCTCTCTCTATTATAGGGTTGTTTTGGGATTTGAGATGTGATTATTAATTAATATTATACTTTTGATCTTAATATTCATGACCCATATGTCCGATAAACCTCACATCTCTCTAATCTCTCTCTAGGTATTTTGGGATTTGAGATGTGATTACACTATAATTATGTCTCTTAATCCCTTATTATAGCCCATTTTGAAGCCCCTCTCTCTCTCCTCTGATTTCGGACCTTGAGAGAAGAATTTTTCGAGGCCATTCAGTGTTGTTATTATCTTTTGGTCCTGCCACATGGTTCAGTTGCATGTCGGCTAATCCATGGTCACAATGTTAGCAATCACAAACATGGGTGGCAGGCTTTTATATGAGGCTCCATAAAGCTATTCTATTGTTTCTCGAGATCTTCCATACCTCTTCTCTTTCCATATTATATCCAATTTCAATTATACAATTTGTATGAGAGAGAGAGAAAGAGATTGAAACTTCAAAGATCCCCCTCTAAGCCTTGGTGTCAGCAAGGTATTTTATCTGTCCTCTTAGTAAAAGCTATTTTTGCAACAAAAAGCCTCATATTTCCATTTAGAAGAAGCTACAAACCTCATAAACAAGATGCTTTTAATGGACAAAGTTCGAAATTCCCCATGGTGTTTTCTCAACTGAGAGATGGCTTTACACAGATCTGTGTTTTTGGGAATAGGAACTTTTCTTAGAAAAGGAAAAGGTCTCGTGCCAAAAGAAACCAGCAGGCATATGACCATGAAATATGTCACTTTCCAAAAAATAAAAAATAAAAAGGACGAAATTAGACATGGTAATAAAGTAAAAATATTTGGAATTTAACACTAACGAAAGAAAGGAAATTTATCAAATTAAACTTTGACTTAACTAGCTATTTAACATTTTAATCATTTTCAACTATGCTAATAATAAAAGAATGGGGAAGTTATCAAAGTACATTTAAATTATTTTCAACTATTCTAACTCATAATCATGTGTATTGGATTTTTGAAATTAAATATAATATGTTATATAGTTAATCTCGTTCATTTTGATACATTTCCCATGCAAAAATCTTATCATCCTAAAATAATAAAACATATGTTTAGAGAGTGGAAAGTAATGAAAGAAAGAGCAATTAGACCTTGCTCATGTAAACTAGGCGTCATTTATCTAGGAGGGTTCTATTTAGGTTATAATAATAATAATAGAGCAACAACAATAATGATGATAATGATAATAGTAATGATAATCATCATCATCAACATTTTATGCTATATAATCAACATGTTTTGCCATTTCGCTCTTTCAAGGCCATACTCTCAGTTAGATCAATGGTCGTCATATGTCTTCACATTTCCTCTCGCCTTTTTAGAGCCTTTCACTTGAATGACAGACCCCTCCTAGTTAGTGTTGTATTAGGTTGATGTTACACATGTTCTACCGCTTAAGTCTACTTTTCCTCATCTTAATTCTTATTGGAGCTATCCTTAAGTTCTC